TAATTTCACTCATCAACCAATGCCTATAAAATTCTATCCGATGTTTACATCATAGGCCAAGATTCATTTGGTATCAAAACCTAACATGACATATTACGTGATTATTTTTCAGTGAGTCACGTTCTCTACCCTATAAAAGTGAAAAGAAAACATACTACATGATTATTCAACATGCGAAGGTCATTTAAAAAATGTATAAACAATTTAGGGTAAATTTTTGACCATCAAACTTTACGCTAAATTTTGTGTTAACTCGGTCCATGGTCATTGAACTTTTCTTGGGAAAATATAATTCGATTGCCTATTTTTAAAATTTTTGACAATATGCTTTCAGACATTTGATTTTTAGTACTCAAAGTCCAAAGATAATTAGCACAAAACGTCATTACCTTTCAATGTTATTGTGCAAAATATTTCCTACATTTCATTTTTTTTAGCATTTTCACCTCTATCATCACATTTCTTTACAAAAATCATTATTTTTATCAAATTTCTCATGTAAAATGACAAATATACCCTCATAGTTTAAATAAAACAAAAAAGAAAAGAAAAATTAAATAAAAATTTGCAATCATACTCCCTAGCTTTTAAAAAAGTGCAAATGAGTCCAAATAAATTATTAAAAGGGCAATTAGTACAAAATGTCATTACCTTTCAATATTATTGTGCAAAATATCCCTACCTTTCATTTTTTGACATTTTTATCCTTATTTTCAAATTCCTTTGTGAAAATCATTATTTTCATCCATTTTTTCAATTAAAAGTTATAAAATAACACATATATCCTTATCTTTAAATAAACAAAGATGAAGAAAAGAAAAATAAAGAACAAATTGCAACTATACCTTTAAATTATTAAGAAACAATTAGTTTAAGCTCGTGTTGCCAAAGCTGCGGGTTTTCTCCGAATTTTTTCAATCAGGTTTAGCATTTTTTTTTTCATATTGTTTATTCTCAAATTGGACGCTATGGCATTGGTCATTCATGTCATGTTTAAATATTTGTTCATATCATGTTTAAGCCCCATTTTTAAAAAAAAATACATTTTTAAACAATTATTTGATATCATTTTAACTACACCTTCTTTAAAAAAATAATATTATAAGCAAATTCAAAATTTTTCTTTATTTTTTAATCACATATTTTTCATCAATATACTATTTAAAAATACATTTTAAGAAAAATAATGTGCCAAAAGGGCTCAAATTTAATCTTGGCAGTGCCAAGAATCAAATTTATTTAAACGTTGGAGAAAGAGAAGTAAACCCATTTAAATTTTCAGTCTGATATAACAGATTACAAAAATAATATATTCTTGGAAAGTAGAAAATTTCTGTTTATTAATTTTTTTAAACAACTTCTCAGTAACGAAATAGAGGGGAAAAAGTATGAAGGAAAATGAAACTTGTCCCAATTTGGGGACCGACCAAAATTCAGGGTGCCAAGGTAACAACACCTCGACCCTTGAATCTGAAAAAAAAAATGAAGTTGAAATCGGGAATTGAGATGCCTGTTTTTGGGTCGGTTCCCGAGTTGGGACCTGTAGCACGGCTGAAGTATGAAACTGACAAATTTGCTAAGCTTTTCCGTTTTTCTATGTTTGAATTTCTGGCCACTAAGTTTGTCGTTACATACCTGAATTCTTTATCATAAAGAGTCGTTGTTTGATTGTTTTGTTGAAAAAGGTTTGTTGAGTCTTTTAAGATAAAAGTTTTCGAAGATAAAAATGAAATTTGCACTGTGCATACCTCTGTTTCAATCCCCTGTATCCAATTTCAAATCATGCCTCTGCTTTTACGTTATATTATGGAATAAAGCCAAACTGACTTGTGAGGATGACCACATCGATGATCGCGCATTCACGTGGATGCATGAGTCCCACATGAATAAAATAATATCCGACCCTCCATGTGTGCATATGCGATCATCCCTAATGACAAACCCAATGTTCGTATAGCATGATTGTATATTACGGAACCTTGTCTATTTTCAAGAGTTTCTAGATAATCACTTCTTCATTTTTTTAGTTCAAAAGTGTACTTGGGGGTCTGCGATGTGCAGTTCGAGATGTCAATTTGTGTAGGTATTTTTATAGAAATGCTAATAAATACTCCCGGCTATCCATCCCTTCTCTTCCTATTTAGGAACTTCACTCTTGAAACGAAGTTCCAAATATTTTCATATTCTAAAGGAATGTGAGTAGTCGGGACTAGGAGGCACCTAAAGAGTAAACGGTCATTATAGCAATAGGAGTCGCAGGGGAAGTAGAGGAAACATCCAATTTGACATTAGAAGGGGCTTTGGCATGAGTCACCAACTTCATCAACGAAGTTTTTAATACATGGAAGAAATGTTTGTTTCAAAATTATTAATTTGTCATGTAGACCGACATATGTAATTAATTTTGTATAAATGCTATCTTAAAGTTGGGCACAAAATTAAAGTGATCCAACAAAAAATTAAGTATTGGGTTTATGACATCTAAATAAGTGTGGGTCGGATTATATTTGTAGAGATAAGTTTCCTTTAGAATTGTATTTCATGATCGAAACTATATATATGTAGTTATGGTCTTCAATTCATATATAACTTCTCATTCTTTGTGTCATCCTATCAACACAATAATACAAAAAATATATATTTATTGAAGAGGAAGATCCAAAAATTCACAACCAAAAATGGACAATCTACAATCAAGAATCAAGACGAATGAATTTAAGAATCAAAAGTATGGATCAAGAAGCCAAAACTAAGATCAAGAACTCAAGCATAAAAAAGAGTCAATATTCAAAATCAAGATCCAGAATCAAGATCCAGTGTTAGAGAAACATTCCAATAAATTAAGGTATAATCCGCGTTTAGCCCCTATTTGTTTCCCATTCTTTCTCCATTAAAATAAAAAATATGACTGTTATCCATCACATCAAGCCACTAAATTTGAATTTCTATCTTTTGTATTGGGCCCACAATGACTATATTTTCATTCTCATTTAAAAAAAAAAAAAATAGGAAATAAACACCCCCTTAATAATTCTCTTGGTGATTTTACATGAAGGATTTTGGTAATAAAGTAATTAGGTTTTCATGTTATTAAGATTTATAAAGTTTCATAAAATTTTAAAAATGTTATTTAGCTACAATAACAATGAACTGTCTTATTCTCAATAAACTTTGAGAAACATCGAGTTTTCTGGGCAAATTTTGGGTTCACAGAACTAATAAATCTCAAATTTATAGCCTACATCAAATTTGTGAAGCTAATTCTCGAAAAATCTGGGTAAATTCAGCGTTAACATTCCAAATATCGAGTTTAGAGTTAAGATATCCAGAATTATGGGCAAATCACGAGTTGATTAGCCTTACACCTTACGTGCTGAATAAATTTCGAGATTCGTTGACAAATATCAAGTTCATCTTTAAATATTATACAAATTGTTCTTAAATATCGATATTTCTGAAATGAACTATGTATTAGACTACTGGATTTAGAACATGCATGCAAAAGGACCTGAGGCAAAGCTAAATGCTTTTGTATTACATGAATGACAGAAGGATTCAGATTTGCAGTCTCGCATGGTGTAGATTTTCGCCTGATAAATGAACAATAAAGGTGGGGTGGTAGAAGAACAATATCCATTGAAGTCTATCAAGATATAACGTACTCATAACTAGTTCAGGAACTGGAAGATTGTTTGAATGTTGATCGAATTTATGCAATGCGTTCGAAATTCAAGTTTCTATGATGAATCTACCTCTGATAGATCTACTAGACAATTGGTACATTACATTGCACACTCAAACTACACTTGGCATCATATCGATTGCACGAGGCATGCCATCCTCTTCACAATAGTTTGGGGTTGGAACGAGTCGTGGAAATGTAAGGCCGAACGTAGAGAACATTGATTGTATTGAAATTATTAATACTAATGGCACTGGTATTGAATGGGGGATATTGTTAGCCGAATTAGTTTGTCTTCACAGAAGAATTCCAGAACACTCACATCGAGTAAAAAATTGCAAAAAATATCCACCACACCCACCCCTCTTGTATGTGTTCTGTACATCAAGAATAGTTCTTGTTGGCCAGTTGTCCGACACGTAGACAGCTATGGAAACGAGATGTTTTTAAATAAACAAGAGCTGAGGACAAAACTAAACAATTTGTCTAGACAATAATTGCAATTAGCAGGTCGAGCTTCTAAGGTTCGATCTCTTCGATATATCTTCATGGCTGTAAGTATGTTTCCACCCACACTCTACCAGATCTTGACATGTTAACACCAATTATTTTTTACATTTCTTCACTAGATATTCGAATTTACATTGGAAGAACAAAATTGAGATACAAAATTTAACACATACAACAAACTACAACCAATGAAATATATGATCCACAAACACGATACTATACATTTTCCATATTGCATGCCCAACATTAATGTTAAATACAAACACAAATACAACGTTGCAAATCAAATTCGAATATACAATATTCATGATTTATTACCACGTAAAAATACCACAAGGTTTCTCCAGAGAAATGAGTTCATAGAGACGTCAAGCTACTTTTGCGTCCGGTGGAACTGGTGGAATCACAGGTTTTCAGAACTCAAGCCAACGGAAATGGCGGTTTTGTGGATCTTAGGATATAAGGATATGTTTTCATCATTACGCTTTATATGCCTACTGAAATGTCAAACTTTTAGTGGCATATTTGTTCAACATTATAAAAATCGACTATAGATATGAATCTTTAAATTTTTGGCCATTTTGAAAATTGAACATTTCGATGAATTCTTGATCTTTAAATAGATGTCACCACCGTCAGCATGCCCAACACACATCAGACTGTTTACCCTTCTCACAAACAATTCTACGACTTTCAATTGCAACTCTCTGTGTATAACATCAGTAATTAAGAAATGATATAATACCAAACAAGGAGAAAAGTTTAATCAGTACCCAACTTGATAAAATACGTAAAAAAAAAAAAAAAATGGGCGAAATTTAAAGGATATTATAACACAATGCAAAAGGAAAACGTTTTTACCTAACTACAACTAAATATTTTACATATAAACTTGTACAAATGATCAGAATTTACTAAAAGCTTTCATTTTTTCCTAAATCGACCAACACAGGAAACAAAATGGAATGCTGCGCTATTACTCAAACAATGAATTACAGATTTTAAGAAAAGAATGAAAAGAAAAAGAAGAAAATATATCTGTACAGAAGAACTAAGAGTGGAAGTAGCACAAGTAAATTATACTTCAAAATAATCACCAATTCTGCGATGGCGCAGCTGCAACTAAAACTGAACCATCTGAAGAGTGTACCGAGGTGGATAAACAACAAATCTTGATGCCACTTCCCTAATATGCCTGCAAAAATTTCACTTATCTCACATGGCCGGGAAAATAGGTGGTCTGAGCTTTAACCAGTGTATCATCTCCTTGTCGACTGGAGCCTCCTGTAAAACGGCGTCTAACATAGGACTGCCAACAACTCTAGGAGAATTCTTGAATGACCAAATCCAATCTTTTGGCCATGGTCTCTGAGGTTGTTTCTCCTAGAAATGAAGAAAACGTGATTCAATCGAGAGCTCATAAACCAATCATATATATGTTTACAAAGACAAACAATAACTCAATACAAAATCAAGGCATGAGAATCGAATTACCAAAGGAAAGAAAAGAGTGAGGTCCTCATTTATTTTTTATTTTTTTGAAATTTTAGGGAAGTGGGGAGACAAAAACAAGGGGAGGTGAATTACACTGGATGAAGCTTACCATTCTAGCAAGCATAAACTTCAGTGTCCTTGGGACATAAACACGTCGATGTGATGGCTTCTGAAGTTTGGCATAAAAGGAGCCTACATCCGGTAAAGATAAAGAACCCCTGCTGGCTTGGGCTAGGAGAGCATTTGGTTCAGCATTAGCTTGATTGTGCCAAAATATCAGCTGGCCTAAACAATAAGTCTCATTGTATGTCTTACAATACTCATGAATACCGGGCCCCAACTTGTCAGCATACTTGGGGCCAAGGTCAAGTGGACTGATGTAAACAGGCGGGGAAGTAATAGTCTTATATTCCTGCAAGATGAGACATAAAATAGATCTAGAGGAATCAGAAAGCCTTAGAAGCAAGAGCTTTTCATATTATAAAGTTCCACAGAATACAAAAACTCACTCTTATTCTGAAAAAACATTTTGTGTAAGCATATATATGTATTAAGTCAGCCGCAGCATCATGCCGACATCTGTACGTACAAGGAAGACTGCGGACCACATCCCTCAACCTGAACCAAGGAGAAGAAATCAGTCTTGTAGAAGTTTCAAGATCAAGACACTGAATGTCATAAGTTCATGTAATTTACCATAACAAAGACTTCCGAAGCTCCATCTCCAAATCACCAGAGCCAGAAGGATCGTGGGCACGAACCTTGGCCTTGAGGTCTCTCAACATACCATCTTCCATATGAGGAGCCATGCATTGGATGAGCTCCTCCACAACTGATGACTCTCCTTTCCAAACATATGAAACTGCTGCTTCAGGGCTAAGCCTCTCCAGTGGAGGAGGGGCTTTCTTTGGGTCACCGAAAACACATCTCATGACGTACCTCACCTGTTCGAGCACAGTAAATACAAAATATTTTTAGCTTCTTATTCCATTATCTCCCATTCTTATTGATATTGATATTTTATTTATTTTGGGTTAGGGAATTTGCTTTAAGAAATTAGCAAACTGCCTACCTTGTCTAGTGTAAGAGCCAAATTTTGAAGCCTCTGGTTGTAGACACCCTCGGCCTGTAGCAACCAAAATTGTTGAAAATATCAATATTAGTTAGTAACTCCCAGCATATCTTAAGACACATGGTAACACAGCACGCTAGACAGAGAGCATTTACCTGAACCTCCGCATCACTTCTCTCAATTTCCAGGCTTACATCTGCAAAGTATTTCTTCTTTTCTTCTATGGTATGCCTCAAAATTACATCAGGAAGTTTTGTCCTCTCAAAATTGATAAACCTCACCTATATTACAAATCAATAATTAGAAAAAATCAAGCATTTATTTTGAACATAGAAGTAGTACTAGAGCACAGATAAACACCAGACGAGCTGAATATGCAATCAGCCAATCAGGCAACCCGCCAAGTAAACAACTGCCAAGTCCAGCTTTACCCAGGTCAATGTAATCTTCTTCAGACACAAAATCTAGTTCACAAGCCTCTAGCATCAAACGATGTCGATCAAGTACCCCGTGATACTCTTTTATTACCTGATGACCGCAACAATGAGACATATTTAGCATAGCCAGTTAAAATACATGAAAAGTAAAGTAAAAGGTGCAATAAAATTTATGACACATTGATGAGTCCACCCCTAAACCTAAGATCTGAGAACTTTCTCAATTTGTTAACTTTCTGAAACGCAAAATTTTCTCCAGTCGTGCTTATATAAGCAGCTGCAAAAGTTTGAGCAATCCTTTAACTAACAGAAAAGGTTGCAATTTCTATACCTTTTGGAAAGCCCCCTCCCCAGTAAGATTCAGATAACTCCCACGGCAAACTTGGCTGCCACATAAACAAACAGAAGCTTCGTACTCTTCCTTACTCTACAGCAATGGCATTGAAAATCAATCAGTACAATAATAAACTAACAGCTAAGATGTCAAGCTTGAGAAAAGCTTACCTCTGTAACAGAATTGTAGTCAAAGGAGATCTCTTCACCATATGCAATGGGTCTAACCGAATAGATCCCAATCTGGTATTGCCCATCAACAGCAGTTACCCTATTATCATGAAAATGGAAGATAGCTTGGTTAATAATATGACAGATCTTGATATGATAGAATTACTTCTTATCATGAAAAGTAAACAATAACTGGTCTTATGGTCAGAGAGAATGACCTTTTAAGAGATTCACAAGAATCCAAAATTAAAACAATTTTCATTGAAATTATCTCAGAAAAAACAGTAAATGGTGATGAAACATAAATCATTAATAGCCAATCAGCTACGTTGAGATGACAGAGAATACAAAGTTACAGATCTGTAAACATAAAAAAAAAAAAATTTTAAAAATAAACTAAAAATAAACCCCATTTCTGCTGACGGCTGTCATCAGCTTCCAAAACCAAACGAGCTATTACAAGTTATAACGCCCAAAGTGGAATGGAATACATTATTAATTTATCAGACAAGAGAACTAACTTTGCTTCACAATTAGGTCTACATGAATGGCAAATTCGGCTTGCATAGTTTGCCTTGTGCATTGCATCCACAACAACTAAATCATACCCATCAGCATCACCCTGCCATATGAAGATAATATATGAGGTCCAAGCATTCCAGGGCAAGAAGAAGGCAGCAGCAGCAAAAGAATCAAATAACAAGTCTGAATTAGGAAACTAGATAAATTCAATATACCTTTGGCCTCTCAAGATATATGTTGTAGAACTCCAGTGCTGGATCTTCATTGTTTTTTTGCAATGAACGAATGCCATCTTGCTTTTCAAACCATTTCCAAGCAGGATAAACCTGTGATTATCAGAATGAATAAATTTCATAAATATTAAAAATGCTTTATTCTGAAATAAGCATCACAGTAGATTTACATATAGACAAACACAGCAATAGTATGAAAAAGAAAAGATTTAAAATAAATAATCGATGAAGATGCAAAATAACTATTAGGAGCTAACAGTACAATTCACCAAATTCATGGGAAGAGCATACATAAGCACATTAACATACTCCATAAATCATCCAGGAGATGCACAGTATCCAGACTTAATCCCAAGATATATGACTGTACTTTACCTCTCCCAGAAACTCAACAACAAAATCATCCTCACTGAAGCCACCTTCTTTGTTGCAAACAACACCGAGCCCCTTTTAGAAAAATAAAAGTCCAAGAATCAAAGTAACCGAATGAGCATCTAAAACCAGATATAGTGAAATATGAAGGAAAGACAGATTCAATAATAAACTAAATAATAATGCAATAAACCTTTCTATAAGCAACATAATTGTCCTCCGAGCGACCATCAATGGCCTTCAAGATGAACTGGCATAGTCTCACAGTTCTCCTGTCATTTTCTTCCTCCCCATTTTCTAGTATCTCTTGAAATACAGGTTTCAAAGGATAAATCATAGGAGTGTTTCCAGTGCCAGTGAAGTGTCTGGCCTGCTTGTTGAGTGTACAAAGGAGAACATCTTCGATAAACAAATGCTTATCAGTAAGAGACCAGTCTGATTCTTCTGGCATGGAATCCAGAAGAAGATTATGAGTGTACGGATCTATTCCATACACTTCTTGTTCTATCACCTCATCTCCAAGGAATTTTCTGGGTTTGTATTCCTTAACTTCAGGAATTTCCATGTCCGACTCCTCAGTGCCATTTCTTTGTGCTTTCAGCTTCTCAGCATAATCATCAGGTAAAGAAACCTGCATCTTTCTTTTCACTTCATCCTCATCCGCAACAATTACATAGTGATCAATGACTTCATACTTTCTGGTAACAGGTGGAACAAGGCCAGACTTTGTCATGCGAGCACCCCATTCACGTTCATCAGCCCAAGAATCAAACCCATCATCAGGAGTAAAGTATGTATCCCCTCTTGTCTCTCCAGTTCCACCTTCTGACCGTAATTCCAAGTCACTTTCCACATCTGATCCAGAACTCTCGCTGTAAGTCATACTTTCACCAGAAGATTTGTCGAGGTCATCAGATGTGTCACTCCCCGAGTCCATAGATTTCTTGTTTAATTTGGATAAACGCCTTCTAATTTCTCTATCAGATACATAATCTCCATAATCAGAAACGCCATTAATGAATGGGGAACTATTATTCCTATGCAAGTACTTCCTGTCAGACACCCTACTTGAATTCTTTTTATACTTTGATGAGGTAGAGGAAAAGCCTGGAGGTGAGTCATCTTTCCAAGACTTCATTATCACATCTCTTTCATGAGAGAGCTTAAAACCTTTTTCCAAGCTCATAGCTAGACGGATAAATAACGTAATGATTCGGTTCATATCTCTGGAATCACCACGATTTTTCACTCTGAAATCATAAAAATTTATTAAAATTAAGAGAAGCGGCAAGAATAAGTAATAGATATGAATTGAGTGCAGTATTATGTTGCTTATTGAATTACAAGTACATTTTACAAACATTCGTAACTACCCACTCCCCACAACCAAAATCTTACAGAAAGAAGAGAGGAAGCAGGAAAGTAAAGTGAAGTGACAAAAACTATTTGAGTACGGGCTCCGGAATTCAGACTAAAATGGAAGCTTATATAATTCAAAGCATCAAACACTTTGCAATAAGCATTTAACATAGAAAACCCACTTAATCGCATCCCGGCACATCCGGCTGATATCTTCTTTGATATAATTCAAGCCACGACTAGCATAATAACCATTTTTCATTCTATTCTCGATCTCAGCAACCTAAAAGGGGGAGAAAAGTCGTCATATTAGTTTTAGAAGCATGTTCTCATGAATATCATAGATAAACAAATCGATAATAAATAAACAAACCAAATAAAAATTAATACCTTAGGCTCAAAGAACTCAAATGTGTTCTCCTTCATGATGTCCCTTAGACTTAAAACAATAAACTTCTCCATCCTCTTGTACCCATTTTCGAACTTTTTCATAGCCAAGCGTCTCAATTGAGCATCCCTTGAGAGGATAGTGGATGACTTTCTAGCATCAAATAGCTTTGAACGCTTATACAAACTTCGACGGAAAAACTGATTTGCAGAGTCTCTTTTATCCAAACTTTCTAAATATTCTTTCAATCCACTGGAATCTTCCATTTTACTGTCCAGCCCACAATAAGTTTTAGAAGCTGATGAACTTTTGTCAGTTATGTGAGTTAGACTCCTAATTTTTGAATGAGCCCGGCTCCTGACCCAATTAATATTTGGAAATTTACAAACCAAATCTTCTAACTGAGAGCAACCTCTAATATCTATAGATGACAAACATGGGAATGACCAAAGAACTTCTTCAAGCGTTCTAGAAGTAATGCCAGTACAACCACGTAGGAACAAGGATGTTATTTTTTCTTTATTGTAATTATTCTGCAAAAAATAGGAAACATTAAGCTCACATTAAATATAAAAACAAAAAGTAAAAAATAAATAAAAATTCTAGGATCCAAACCTTCAATAACATAATAAAGAAAACAAATAAAGATAAAGAAAAAAAACCAAAAGATATGCCACACGCCCATAAGAATATATACAAGTAAAACTCACCATTATTTTCAAGATCATGGCGTCAGTGCAATATGGGGCAATGGCAAGAAAGTCAACCTGTTTAGATATATTTTTATAAAACTTGACCACAGATTGCCAGTGCTTGCAAGTCAATGAGGCATTAAACAGTGACTTAAGATCAGCACTAAGGAAATGAAATACTCTCGCCAGCACATGACCATCCAGCAGATCCCAGCTTCCCCTCTCAATCTCAGAATCTGCTTCATCTCCTATGCAGAAAGTCACATTGCTGCATAAATCATCAAATGTGCACTTGTCCTTCATAAAAGTTGATGTATCTTCTTCCATCTCATCCTCCACTTCACTTCCTTCAGCCCTGGCTCTTTTGCTGGGACGAAAATGATCTGCAAAAATGACACCCTTAATGAAGAAAAATAATAAAATGCAATAAAAATATATTTATTCACAAAATGTGGTAAACGATATTTTTCAGGCCATAACCTAAAATAATAAACTGTAAGAACTTGACGACAAACAGAAAGAGGAGACAAAATACAATGAGTAATTTTTTGTCATATAAGTACCTGATAGGTAAGTATGGTTGTCCATCTCTTTCTTCAACTGTCTAGCATTGATCCATGGATCTAGGAATTCATTTATAGCTGCAGCAAACTCCCGACTCTTGTATGACTTCATCACCAATTCATGAAGCTTTCCTCGAGAATAACCAATGAACTGTGGATGTAAGTCATGGAACTTGGCAGAAACTATGTGGCTTCCACCTGATATAGCCATTGACTCTGACAGAGAAGTTCCAGAAGTATCAGTAGATGCCATAGTATTGTCATTTTCAAACTTTCCAGCAGGCTCAGGGACTTTGGCGGTAGAGGTAATTGGGACCCAAATTTTGTCATGCTTTCTAAATACACTGCTATGCTTCTCGATAACACCTTGATCTGCCAGTACTTGCAGCTCCGAAAACGATAAAGGTCCTTTTTCATGCCCAGCAGCATCTAGGTAGTACCAATCACCCATATGTAACTGCAACTCGTCTGCTCTGCAGAGGCGGTTGTTTGGTACACCAAAGGATGTGCTGCTCTTCCAAGAACCCTGCAAGTCTTGCTCATTCCAACTCTTTGAGTGACCATCTTCTGATAAGCTCTTTGTTTCACCAATTACTGAGTAAGGTCGTGAGGAACTTGAAGAATATTTTTCCTTTCCTCTACCTTTCATGCGAGGCTCAGAAACAAATGACCCATAGTCTTTTACCACACATGCATTGATCCTGATCACTGGAAGCATTATTCCTTTCAGTCCCCTAGCAGAGGCAGATTTAGTTTGACTTTGTCTGCTTGCACTGATGGTTTCATTCAGTTCATCTGGTGAGGTAAAGGCCCATGGTGGGAGGTCAAGTCTTTTGCTCTGGGAAGGAAGGTACAAATCATCTTTCTGCTGCCATCGAGGGTCTTCATGGCCAGATTTTGGCATCTGGCATAAAGGATAGCCATTGTTAAGAACAAGCTTCCTCTTCCAAGATCTATCCTGAGAAATTTCCTCGTTCCTCTTCCAATCCCCGCCCTTGCATGACCACTGGCCAGAAAACCATTCACCAGTGTCAATATAAGCAAAAGCATTATCTTTCTTAGATGGGGTCAGCATAATGGAGCTTGAATCCGCAGTGTCTTCCAGTGAAAATTCAGTAATACCATACGAACCATTGCCACTTTTTTCCTCACTTTGTTCACCTATGTGAAGTTGACACCAAGTGAAATCTGCAAGTTCACCAAGTAAGTTCTTCCATAAAAGGGCAGCAAGTGCAGACCAAGAATTTATATAAATAGGTTTTACTGTAAAAAATATTATGTTGCAACATGTCATACAATTAGTAATCTCATATCTGAGTAATGTTTATCCTCATATAGACTCAAGGATTCAAACAAGAAAAAAGGAACTTGTTCACCTCAAATGGCCAATCCAAATACAACCTTCAACAATTTTTATGTGTAATCTGAAAATGAAAAGCAAATACTGGGACTTTCCAATATGATTGTTCAGAAGCTTCAGCAGAATGTAGGAAAATGTCATATTACTAGCACAATAATATATGGATAATATATCAACACATTTTTAGTATGACAGAAGGCCACTTAAGATACGCATAGACATGCAGGCAACACGTCATCCAAGAAAGAATTTGCTACAGTCCAAGTTCATTTGTAATTAAAAGAGCAGAAGCTCCGAAAATCCAAACCACTCCAGCAATTTCAGCCAACAGAGCAGCTTATATAAATATGATGATCACCTGAAAGAGATAATGTGAATAAATGGGACAATTAATATATAACAACATACCTTCGATATTTCCAGCTCTCTCCCATTCCGCAGATCTAAAAGTCATTTGCAGGACTTCTGAAAGAAAATGCCTTCATGAGCTCCAAAACATAAAACTAAATATATAGGAAAAATGGAAAACCATTTACAAAACAGAAGCTGGTTCACAGACCAAAGTTTCAGCTAGATAATTTTAAGGTTAAAAATAAAATAAAGTTAAATAATTTACATGTAGTAAATTGCCAGGTGGCAAAAATTAAAGAGGCACTTTTGTATCATTTAATGCCACCTGGCATCTCATAAGAGTAACTTGAACCCTATTTAGGGTAGAATAGTCAATAGACAAATGAAAGGAGAAGATTAGCTTACCCGCAACTGTCTCAAGTTCCTTGCCAGGAAGTAATTCAACACCCTGTAACAGCATTCCAATTCTTTCATCAATATGTAGATCTTCCAAATGCTCTGATACAGCTGAATTGTCATCAGAGAAGGATATTGGATCTGAAGAAAGGGCCATTGATGCCTCACCAGCCAGGCTACCAGAAAGTGCCCAGTTTCCCTTATCTGCCAACAAATTACCAGGAGCCTCAGGAGGGTTCACTAGCTGAGAAACTTTGTCTGAAACAATTGAAAGGAAATCTGCAGTAACCAATGGGGAAACTGCTTTTTCAACTGTTACCCACCTGTCACTATCAAAATGCTTGATTAGGTGGTCAGATACCAGATATCCTTCCTGGACCAATGTTTTTAAATCGGACAATTTAGAAGGCCCCCGTTCCAGGCCAAAATGATCCAGGTAGTACCACTTTCCAGTGGCCGCATCTGCTATCACTGAGACATGAGGAGGTGTGTTGCAGATATCCATATCTTCTTCCATGGACGTCAGCTCCTCAGTAGCTCCATTTTCCAGAGGAGATTCTTTACCCTTTAAAGTAGGACTTTCAGAGAGCTCTTCCAGGTGAGAAGCATGGCTGCCAGTTTTATCATTGGAGCCATTCTCAATATCCAAATTGCTTTTATCTTGTGACTCTTTAGCTGAAACTCGTGAATTCTTCCCACCAGAATCCTTCTGGTTATGTTTTGGCTCTTGCTCTTTTCTTTCGTAATAATTCAACTGCTTCTCGCTCGATCCACTTCTCCAATTTGTTTCCCTGCGGTCACAGGACCTACCATGATCAAACGGGGACTGCTCCAATAAAGTTGAGGTCCGAGACTTGCCATCATAGCTTCGACCTTGATCATGGGAGGACTGCTCCACATAGCTAGGGCTTTGATATCTATGGTCATAGTAATGGCTTCGATCATAGGGGGACCGACTTCTCTCGTACTGATGCCTCCGATCATAGGGGGACCTATCAGGTCGAGCTGGGCTCCGTTTCTTATTATTCCGATTGCAGGGACGATCTCTTGGTGACCGCTCAGGATGACGTGGACTGCTATTATGCCTGTCAGAAACTGCCCTATATGACTCAAGATGCCTAGAAGAATACCTTTCAGAGGGAATGTTCCGTGATGAAGAAGTAGCAGTTTTACTCTGTCTCTCAACAAAACGGCCAGAATAGTACTCTGACGAGTGTGTAGAGCGGCTACCGTCATCAGAAAGCTTTCGGATTTTTGAATTATAATAAAAATCACACTCACCGCGGTACTTCCGGTCAATGCAATCTGAATCATTACCATAACGCTTTGGACGATTGCCTCTTGCATGATTCTTGCCGTTATTGAGGTCGTTCTTGCAGAAACCTTCCTCATCCACAACTTTGGAACCGATCCTCATATTCCTGTCAGCTTCATATCTAGAAGTAGACTTCTTTGCATGCGTTTGAGTCTCACCGCTTCTATTAAACTCTTTCCCAACAGAATACTTACCGGATGAAGGCGGAGTCCACTCACGTTCACAATCACCTTTCCACCCCTTTTCTTTTGAAGAAGGTGGCGACCATCCATGGTCGCCTTTCCAACCCCTTTCTTTACGGGAGTGTGAAATCCACTCGTGTTCACGGTCAACCTTCCATCCCTTTTCTTTTGAATAAGGAGGTGTTCGTTCATGCGCAAATTTCCATCCTTTTTCCTTTGAAGAATCATATCTTCGCGACTTTGAGTAGCCATAATCATCACCCCGAAATTCGAACTCGCTTCTGCGCCATCTGTCGGGTACAAATTCGCCTTTCTCCAATTCATCCTTTGATGACCTCCATCCGTCCCTATCCAATTCACCACCTCCCTTTCGCCACCTTGGAGTAACGAACTCGCTCTTTTCAAACTCACCCTTAATCTCATGTTTCCTTTCCGATTTTTCGGGAACAAACTCGCCATTCTCAATGGGAAAAGTTCCCAATTCACCTTCTTCCACCTCATCTTTACTATTACTGCAAACTTCACCATTGCAATTATTCTCAACTTCTTTATCACGGCTAATATTCTTCAAACCCAATTCACCTCCCCTTTCTTTTTTTCCCTTCATTTTTGGACTCATTCTGAGTGAAGACTTTGAAGAAGAATTGAGCTTGGTGTTGCCGTTGGTCTTGCCTCCGCAAATTGAAAACTTCTCCATAACATGCTGTGAAGGCACGCATGCAACACCTCCATCGCCCATGGAACGTCCCAAACAAATCCTTTTCCAATATAACTCACAGAAACCAAACTTAATTCCGTTCTTCACCTAGGTTATAGATGCTCATACTGCTCCTTCACATTCTGCCTTGACTTCAAAGACCACAAATCCTCCTCCGAATTCAAACCCTATAAAAAAATCAGCAAAATTATCAAACCAAATTTAACAAATAACAAAACACTCAATCAAAGCCAGAAATGGTGTTTTAAAAATGAAACAAACCGTGAAATTGAAGAGGCTAGGGTTTTGAATCATAAAACCAAATAACCAAAAAATTGAATGGTGAAATGTAATGTCATATTGAAGAGTCTAGGGTTTTAAATCTGAACACTTACAAGTTGAGAATTACAGAGTTGAGTCACGAGATCGGATAACGAGACGAGACTGAATCACAGTAGATTCGAATTGAGAGAATTTGAAGAAGAGAGAAAACAACAGATCGATTGAATAGCTGAAGACGAATCTCTGAAATCTTTTTCTCCTCGCTGTCTCTGTACATGAAACGAGTTTTCATTTTTTTTATTTTTTTATTTTTTTGTAATATTAATTTTTGTCAAAATTTTGTTTTCGGGCCTTTAGAAGAATTTGTGGCTTGCGTTTATGTTGGGTCAATTTTCTTTTCTTTTTTTTTTTTTTACTAATTTCCATTTATACCCTTTAGTTCTATTTATTTATTCAAACAGATCCTTCAACTTCGTTAAAATTATGGCCAAGGACAAAATGAGAGATTTCGGGATACAAATGTGAACGGCGTTGATAATCTAGTAGAATGACAATTGTAATGTGTCACGCGTTTTATGAAACATTGTTTAACCGCAAGTGTACGATGTCAAATTTTGTAATATAGTATTGAAGTAAAAGTGTCGAACTCACAAGGATTGTAATTTAATTTTTACTAAATTCTATAATTGTGTAATTCCTACTTTATTCAGATGAATAGATGATTGAATGATTGTGTTAAACTAATGGAATATGATTTGTTGTGACAAAATTGATGAATGCAAATTATCAATATGAGAAGGCCTAGGGATTGATTACACTTTACTCTCAATTACAATTCAGCGTTTTCCAATATTCCAGTTAATTTTCCCATATTTAAAAGCAAAAATCTTAATATATTCCTCTCCCCTCTCTCGAGTGCCGGCTAGAAAATAATCCTAAATTCCAATTCCAATATCTTATTTCGAATTGAAAATTAAGAATTTATAAAAATCCTGATTCTTTTATGGAGTAAGTTTTGCAGATTTTATACTTTATCTCGAAATCCATAAAACCAATGTTGTGTCAATTTTATGATCACGTCTAAATTTTTCTCTCTCGAGTGTCGAAATTGACTAGTATTTATTCATTCAATTATTGATGAAGTAATTGAAAGCATTAAAATCATGACACAATTAAATATATGCGGGAAAATCAAATAAATAATTAAAAAAATCAAACAGTAATCTCGATTCGGCTACATCAAACCCCTAGATAAATTGTTTAGTTCATGATGTAATACATGAAAATCATACAAATTATAATAAACAAATAAGGAAAATGATAGAAAAAATAGTCTTTTGGGTAGATCTTCAATTTTATTCCTTGATGTTATTCGTCATTTCTTTTCGTGTCTTCAATTTTTGCCTCTTTCAAATTGTGTGGTTGAATTCTTCAATCTTGCCCCCTTCAATTCTTCCCGAAAATATGTCTTTTAAATGGTATTTATAGTATTTTGAAGTTATTTGACGAATTAGAGTTGAGTTGGACCAAGAAAAGATTCAAAAAAAAAA